TTGCCAAAACAAAGAACAAGAGGAGAAAGGGCAGATGTGTAGGTCAAATCATCATTGGAAGAAACAATGGATTGATGCCTGTTGAGAAAGTTAGAAATGAGAATGAATCCTTTCACATAGCAAATGTTTTTGCTTGTTGTAGGAAATGTAAGAAAGGTGTCATGGTATAACAGATTATGTCCTATAACTGGAAATTTTGGGTTCTATAGAGACAAAAAAAAAAAAAATGTTAAGTAAACTAGGTTGTGAGAGTTTATTTTTGTATGTATACAAGAAGCCAATTGCTTGATGAAAGTAGAAAAACCCTTGGAAAATTATATTTATGTCTCTTGTTAGCATAATGTTTTTCAAGAAGAGTAGTATATAGCACTTAAGATTTTTCATTTTTTTGTCATACAACAGGCAAGTGGGCCAGAACCTTCACATCCCAGGTGGAACAAAGGTGGTGGAAGCCAAAGGTCGCCTTGTTATGCCAGGTACTTACTGGAAATCTTACTTTATCTGTGAATAAATGTGTTACAGTTATTTCAAGTTTCTTCAAACTTAGGCTGGATCAAAGTGAGGTATATTATTATAATATGTATAGTATGGTGTTTAAGGCCTTTTATGATTATATAAATATATGGGTGAATAACATCATTTTGCCAAACAGGTGGAATTGATACTCATACCCACATGCAGCTGCCATTTATGGGAACGTTTGCAGTGGACGACTTTTATACTGGGACTCGTGCTGCCCTTGCTGGTGGCACCACAATGATCAGTGGGTATTATAATTAATTTTCAATGAATATAGAAATGTCAGTATGCTAATACATTTTCACAAATGCTGTAAGTGATGCTACAAATACCAAATTTCTCCAAACAGTGGATTTTGCTCTGCCCCAACGAGGGGAGTCCTTAGTTGAGGCCTACCACCGCTGGCGTGCCTGGGCTGACCCAAAGGTGTGCTGTGATTATGCACTTCATGTAGGCGTCACTTGGTGGTCCCCCAAGGTAAAGACATGAAAATATTTCTGTTTGATTAATTGTGAAGTTTTCCTTAAGCTACTTTTTGTATAACCTTGATATTTTTGTACTTTGAATGATGTGAAGTAGGTATATATTATATTTTCTTTCTGGTCTCTGTGTAATACAAACCAATGAAAGGTAATTTGAAATATGTTTGACAGTGTATAACATTCATCAGTAATATTTTCGAGGTAGATATTTATGTGTGTGGTATAAATTTATTCATTTATTTCAAAATGATCTTTCAGGTAGCTGAGGAAATGCAGGAACTGACTGAGGATCTTGGAATAAACTCCTTCAAGATGTTTATGGCCTACAAGGACACCTGGCAGCTTGGTGATGGAGACCTTCTTGAATCCTTCAAGAGGTGTAAGGAATTAGGAGCACTGGCTCAAGTCCATGCAGAAAATGGTGATGCTATCAAAGAGGTGAGTGAGCTAGGGTACTTGTTTCTTGAAGTAATATTTTTAAAGGTCATAAGAAGATGGTACCACAATATGTTTCAGGTCTCTCTTTATTACAGTCCAGTGTTGGAGAGTAACATACTTTGTTTCATAAGTGTATAAAAGATATGACAACATGAGTAGTCTGCCAATACACCTCAGAGTTGAGAAATGCATATTCTACTATATCATGGCCATTTATTTGACATATGGCATTTGAATTTATATAATCATCTTACCTGTGACTATTCAGTTAGTAACCCACCCTTTCAAGGATAAGAATAAAAAAAAAATAAAAAAAATGATACCATAGATTGTCACATTCAAACTTTTAATAAGCAATGGTATGATGTTAATTTTTATGTTCAAAAAAAGATTATGTAGAAAAATTAACTTTTCTCAGAATGATAATTATTAGTTGTGTCCTCTTTGAAATTCCTGCAAAGCAAGATGACAGGCAATTCTATTCAATTATGATTTTCATTAAAAAGTGATATATGATTTAATTATATTTACTTTTCTCTTCAGAACTCCAAAAAGCTGTTGTCAATGGGCATAACAGGACCAGAGGGACACGAAATGAGTCGCCCAGAGGAGGTTGAGGCAGAAGCCACAAACAGGGCCTGTGTTCTTTCCAACCAGGTAAACAAAGTTCTGAATACTTATAATTTTCAGAATGTGATATAATACAATCATGAAATTAGTGATGAGAACTTCTGAAGAAACTTGATGTAATTCAATAAAAATGTTTCCCATTTCGCATGTGCATGAAGGTGTGTGTGCTGATGTTGTTTCTGCACCTGCACATCTCTGTATTTTTGTTAATGGAAAATTATTATATTTTCTTTCTGGTCTCTGTGTAATACAAACCAATGAAAGGTAATTTGAAATATGTCTGACAGTGTATAACCTTTATCAATAATCTTTTTTGAGGTAGATATTTATGTGTGTGGTATAAATTTATTCATTTATTTCAAAATGATCTTTTAGGTAGCTGAAGAAATGCAGGAACTGACCGAGGATCTTGGAATAAACTCCTTCAAGATGTTTATGGCCTACAAGGACACCTGGCAGCTTGGTGATGGAGACCTTCTTGAATCCTTCAAGAGGTGTAAGGAATTAGGAGCACTGGCTCAAGTCCATGCAGAAAATGGTGATGCTATCAAAGAGGTGAGTGAGCTAGGGTACTTGTTTCTTGAAGTAATATTTTTAAAGGTCATAAGAAGATGGTACCACAATATGTTTCAGGTCTCTCTTTATTACAGTCCAGTGTTGGAGAGTAACATACTTTATTTCATAAGTGTATAAAAGATATGACAACATGAGTAGTCTGCCAATACACCTCAGAGTTGAGAAAAGCATATTCTACTATATCATGGCCATTTATTTGACATATGGCATTTGAATTTATATAATCATCTTACCTGTGGCTATTCAGTTGGTAACCCACCCTTTCAAGGATAGGAATTAAAAAAAAAAAAAAATGATACCATAGATTGTCACATTCAAACTTTTAATAAGCAATGGTATGATGTTAATTTTTATGTTCAAAAAAAGATTATGTAGAAAAATTAACTTTTCTCAGAATGATAATTATTAGTTGTGTCCTCTTTGAAATTCCTGCAAAGCAAGATGACAGGCAATTCTATTCAATTATGATTTTCATTAAAAAGTGATATATGATTTAATTATATTTACTTTTCTCTTCAGAACTCCAAAAAGCTGTTGTCAATGGGCATAACAGGACCAGAGGGACACGAAATGAGTCGCCCAGAGGAGGTTGAGGCAGAAGCCACAAACAGGGCCTGTGTTCTTTCCAACCAGGTAAACAAAGTTCTGAATACTTATAATTTTCAGAATGTGATATAATACAATCATGAAATTAGTGATGAGAACTTCTGAAGAAACTTGATGTAATTCAATAAAAATGTTTCCCCTTTCGCATGTGCATGAAGGTGTGTGTGCTGATGTTGTTTCTGCACCTGCACATCTCTGTATTTTTGTTAATGGAAAATTATTATATTTCTGTTTGATATTTTTTTCATAGGCAGATTTTAATTTCTGTTTGATGTTTTGTTATTGTATTTTTTTTTATTTATTTCATTTTATATTATTATTATTATTTTCTTTAGTTCTATTTTCAGTTTATTTATTGATTATCATTTTTCCTAGGTTGGATGTCCCCTCTATGTTGTGCATGTTATGTCAAAGAGTGCTGCTGATGTAATCTCAGCAAAGAGAAAACAAGGCCACATTGTGTTTGGTGAGCCCATTGCAGCCTGCCTTGGCACATCAGGCAAGCACTATTGGCACCAGTGCTGGAGACATGCTGCAGCTCATGTCATGGGGCCTCCTTTGAGACCTGATCCAGACACTCCTAGATATCTCATGGACCTTTTAGCAAAGTATGTTTATTTTGATTTTTGTTTGGTTACTTATTATTGGACCAACCTTTTCTTTACCTTTCATAATTTTTGGTATCCTTTCTTATCTTCAAGCTTTATTTTCTTCCTTTTTTTCCCCGAAACATTTCATTCTTCCTTTCAGAAATAAAGTCACTCTAGTGTACTAGGTTGAGTTTGTTTCAGGTTGGCTGCCCTGTGTACATTTGTAAAGTTATGAGTAAATCAGCTGCAGAAGTCATTGGAGAAAACCTTCGAAAAGGAAATCTGGTATATGGTGAGACAGTTGTAGCAGCCTTAGGCACAGATGGCTCTCATTACTACAACACTTGCTGGCAACATGCAGCAGGTCATGTTATGTCTCCACCTCTTCGTAATGACCCTAGAACTCCCAGCTTACTCTTGGAACTTCTCAATATGTAAGATTCAAAAGCTATAGATAGAATTTTCAAGTGGAATATCTCTCTATATTTGCTTGTTAGTCGTTGTATACTTGTGCCATGTCCCCCTTATCAGAGGGGGTGGCTTAAACAAGATGGCCTCATATCATTTCTCTCTCCTCAAATCCTTCAAGCCTACATCATTCATCTTAACTTATTTGGGATAGAAGGACCAAATCAAGCTGCTGTACTTGCTTAGTTTAAATGCTCACGTTGTATCCTGTCCCTAATGAATGGTGAAAACACTCTACCATGTTGATACTATGGTAGAAAAACCCACAATGTAAATACTAGATTTATTGAAACTGAGACAACAGTCTTGGAATCCACCTAGATTCCACCCAGACCTAAGGACCAGGTGGATTCACAAAACTGTTGTCTCACTTTAAATAAATCTAGTTTTTTTACATTGTGGGTTTTTCTACCATCCTGCCCCTAAGCATCTAATGCTGGTTTATACACCTTCCCAATCATAGATCTTTTGCTTCTTTTTTTCAGCACCCTATTCAATCAACATGATGATTTTCTTCATGCATTTCTGTTGCTTGCCTACAGTGTTACATGTTAATGTATTTGAGAATAAAGTATTTCAGTTTATGAGAAATGAAGATGGAAGAAGACTGACAGCAAAGTTAATTGGAGAAGTGTTCAAAGAAGTGAAATGTGTCAATTACCCAATGTCTCACATGTCAAGGAATGGGAGTGTGGGAAATATAACAAAATATAGGGTTGTACTACCTGTGATGAGTGTGGTAAGTGTGTTTCAAAGAGGTAGACCAATTATGGAATGTTTGAATAGTGTGAAAAGAGGTCTAGCAGCTTCTTTGAAGGACTTCTCCAATTAACTTTGCTATCTTATTCCATCTTCACATCTCATGAACTTCAGTACTTTACTCTTACATACATTTATATGTAAAGCTGTAATTTTCCTTCTGAATTCAGCTCCTAAATTTGTGAGTCACCTTCTATAAACTCTAATGTGCCCCCTAAAACATTCTTGTTTACCTTCTTGATGTGTTCTCCTGTTATCAGCAAAAGTAGGAATTGGTTTGTTGCAAATAATTTGCAACATAAAAAATTCTCCACAGAGTTTCACATCAAGTGGCAAGGTAGCTATACAAGCCATAGAGGAATTTTACTTGAGGTTTAACCCAACCTTAACTTCATACCAATAACCATTCCTGCATACCATTTACACACATGCTATTGTTCTCGTAGAAACTTTACTGCTGTCAGTAGCCAACCTTCAATACTAAATGTACTCTTACACATGTCCTCTCTTTCTTCACTGTCATTTGTGTTTTCTAGATTCAGGAACATCCAAAATAGGTCTTCCCTTTTGCTAGGTCCTCTTTACATATATGTTGCATAGCAGATACCAGATTCCTGGAACCCTCTCTTGAATCCACACTGCTTATCCATGAAAACACTCTCACTCCCTTCTCTTATTATCTTTAGTAATACCTTGACAAAAACTTCACCTATCACACTCAAATCTAATAATACACTTGTAGTTGCTGCATTCATATTTGTCACTTTTTCCATTGTACAGCAGTATAATGTGTGCACTCCTCCAGTAGGCAGGAACTATGGCAGCTGTAAAGCGTACATAGACTAACCTGTTTAGTCACAGTCTCTCCTCCTTCCTTTAGACATGCCTGGTGCATTACCTCATTTCCATTTCCTTTGAAACCCATTTTCTTGTGATCTTCTTGTATCCACATATATCCCAGCAACATCCTCAGTCAGCTTGGTATGGTAGCTTATCAGATCTCTCTTCCATCTCCAAAGTTTAAGGACCCTTTAGAGTACTTTCCCCGTCTACTGCATATTGCCATTTTATTATTACCTAGAGGCCTAATCTTCTTCCCAAACATTTTCTTATTCTCTTTAAAATTCTCAACCATGTAATTTCTACTAATGCTTGCATTCAATCTTCTTTTTGTGTACTTCACCTACTTTTCACATTATTTCTCCTCTTGTTAGTGATTTTACAAAACATGTTTATTTCATCTGCTTGATGGTGACCAATATCCCCTGAATTTTGTGTACATATGTATATATATACATGTATATGTATATTTACATATATATGTATATATGTATATGTATATATACATATGTATATATACATATACATATGTATATATACATATGTATATATACATATGTATACATGTATATATATACATGTATATATATACATGTAAATATATACATGCATATATATAGATGTATATACATCTCTCTCTCTCTCTCTCTCTCTCTCTCTCTCTCTCCTCTCTCTCTCTCTCTCTTCTCTCTCTCTCTCTCTCCTCTCTCTCTCTCTCTCCTCTCTCTCTCTCTCTCTCTATATATATATATATATATATATACATACACACACACACACAACACACACACACACACACACACACACACACACACACACACACACACACACACACACACACACACACACACATATAATATATTATATGTATGTATATTATATGTATGTATATTATATGTATGTATATTATATGTATGTATATTATATGTATGTATATTATATGTATGTATATTGTATGTATGTATATTTTATGTATGTATATTTTATGTATGTATATTATATATATGTACACACACACATACACACACACACACACACACACACACACACACACACACACACACACACACACACACACACACACACACACACACACACACACACACACACACACACACACATATATATATATACATACACACACACACACATACATATATTCATGGGGGGAAATTGACAAAAAATATAAGATGTTAAAGTTTTAATTCTTTAATGTGCTTAAATTTGTACTGACTGTGAATAAGTAGTGACTCGCCCATGGTATGGAGGAGTCAAACATGTTTGAAACACCAACTTCCTCTCTCTGTCTTTTCCCCCTCCCTCTTCCTTACCTATTCTTCCCTCTACCCTCTCCCCTGCTCCTTCCCTAAAATTCAATCTTAAAATGAGAGAATTGATTTGAGACCCTTGATAAGGCCTAGTGTTTTTTTTTTCTGTAGATTTATCAATGCAACCCTTTGAACACAGAAACAACCAAACTTGCCTGCACACCATGATTTTCCTTAGTAAGCATAGATGGCTTTTGAGACTGTACATTATGATTCTTTTGTTTGTTTATAGAGTAAGTCTTTGTTATAACTAAGATTTTTTATGAGATATGATCATGGTACTCTTAATTTTTTCTTTTCTTAATGTCAGAGTCATGAACTTGTATAGAAATATGCATATTATTAGTTATGTTTATTTATATATTCAGTTATTTTTGCATTTTTATTAACATATAATTTTTTTGTAACAGTCTTGCATAACTGGCTTTTTAAGGCATGTTATCACCATTGTCAGCATTGATAACTAGTACACTCAGCAACACTTCTTCCTGGACCACCCATGGCCATTCATTATAGCTGGTGTGGCTAAAAGTGCATTTGAAATCTCTGTGTGAAAAGGATTGAAGGGAAGAGGACATAGTAGTGATAAATTGTTTAATATTATTTATTTGAATATGTTATATTCATTAGAATAAGCAAGTGTTATTAGTCCTCATTTATATGTACTCCTCTTCTTCCTCTTCTCCCTTGTTGCTGAGTGTACCAGGTAGCAGTGCTGCTAATTGTAAGGTCTTCATGAGCCATGTTTAATGAGAGGTGTGTTGCTTTGCAGCTCTCTGTTTTGATATATTTTATATCTTTTGTAAACATACATATGTACTATACATATAATTTGCACATTTATTTATTTTCTTCTTTTCTCTTCACCTTTTCCTTTATTCATGTTTGCATACAATTATTTTGATGGATTCTCTTTCAGGATGAGACTTCTTAACCAATTCTTCAGAGACCTTGTTATGTAAATGCAGTGTCCTATTTAGCATATTCAAAATGTTTTCTTTTTTATAAGAAAATTAAAAATCCAAATTAAAAGTGCTTAAAAACAAACAAGGAAGACGAAATAAGAATTTTATAAACATCCATTTCTTGGAGACATAATGGATGCAAGAAAATAACTAAAGCAATTTTATATGAAAGTTCACTTTTTCTGTATTGATTGCCACATGTTTTGGGTTATTAGTTTCCTTTTAGTACTATTTCACATATATTTTTTAATGAATCAGTGCATGTGTAAAGTATGAATGAAAATATACAGTCTAATGATTATGATAGTAATATTCATATTGTTATTGATAATGAAGTAAATTTTGACTTAAAGGCTAAAAATGATAATGAAGGATTGACATATCTTTGATACACTGCCAAAAAAGGACAAACAACTAAACCGATAGAATAAAACAGCAACTAAAAGCCAAAAAATAACATTGGCCAATAATGAGAAATTTTAACAATATCAGATGAGACAAAGATAAAATTAGGGCGTCATAATGACATAAGCATGAACGTTACAAGAATAATCCTCAAAGTGGGGCAAAAGGTAGAAGGTAATCAAGTGAGATCCAATAGCATATCAAGGTCTCAGTATACTCTTGGGCCATTGATGGAACCAAAGGCCACTGAGTGTGATTTTTGTTTCACAGGATGAGAAAGCCACACCAAATTATAATCTAGTAAAAGAAATAGTGTCATTTGCAGAGATGGTAAACCAAAGACTGTGTACCTGAGAAAAAGATTATTCAGGTACCCTGTGGTACCCAGTGGATTAAAAGCTGCCTTGCATTTGCCTTTTTTTTCCTTTTTTTTTTTACCATCCTTTGGTTGTAATGTGGAGCCAGATGGCAAATCCTCTTCTAGGCTTCCTATTAACATTTACATATTTGTATGATGCGAGGCAGATTTGCAGTTCAATTAAGACTGTTTGCTCTTGTAGAGTATGCTTAAAGTATGTTCTGCATCTTTATAAGATAGCATTTATTCCTCAATATTTTTTTTACTTTTTCATTGTTCTATTATATCTAAAACATTTGATTTGTGACTTACTTTACTAAGAGACAAAGCACTTGAAAGATTTGGTGTTATTTTCATAATATATGTGATATTGTCCAGCCTGATTAGTGTTTGGTAAAGAAGATGAAGGTATAAATGGACAAATGTCTTACTAATAAGATAGAAAAATTAATGAAATGTATGTGCTTGATTTCAACAGTGGTGACCTCCAAGCAACAGGGACTGACAATTGCACATTTACTGCTTCTCAAAAAGCACTTGGAAAAGATGACTTCACTAAAATCCCAAATGGAGTCAATGGAGTTGAGGACCGAATGTCTGTTATCTGGGAGAAAGGTGTTGTTTCTGGAAAAATGGATCCATGCCGATTTGTGGCAGTAACTTCAACTAATGCTGCAAAGATCTTCAACATTTATCCCAAAAAGGTGATATATAAGATTAAGAAAAGTTTCACAGAATGTGGGATTTACATTAGAATTATACAGAATTATATTAGAAATTGATATAGCTACTAAAAATGATACATCATTTGCACAAAAAAAATTGATAAGAAACAAATAAGAAATTTTAAATTTTGATTATAGGGTCGTATTGCTGTGGGCTCAGATGCAGATATTGTTGTATGGAACCCTAATGCCACTCGTATCATCTCTGCAAAAACACATCACCAAGCAGTTGACTTCAATATTTTTGAGGTAAGTTTTATAAATGCTACAGAAAGAAGAATGGAAAAAATGGGAATATATTGACATATAGAGATTTCTACTGGGCAATAGTATTATGATCCATATTATGTAAATGTTTTTTAGCTGTATGTGTGAATTGTATTATGTGTTAATCTTATCAATTTGAAGATTCTCTTTTAAATCATGGAAAAAATATTTTTTATTTGCAATAAACATCACATTAAGCACATATATTTAATTTTGTATTGAAAAGTGAAAGATAATTTATGAAAGTCAGTAGATTCTTACATCTTTGACTTAGCTATTGTTTTTTTGTTGGAAGACTCCTTTACAGATATTTACATAATGGAAATGGTGCTTTGAAACCAGAAACCAGAAGGTATTGTAAATTTCATCACATATCAAATAAAAATGTAAAATTATGGTAGCCTTTTTCATATATTCTGACATTGCAGGGAATGGAAGTGCATGGCATTGCTGATTATGTCATCTGCCATGGTCGTGTTGTAGTGGAGGAAGGGGAGCTACGCGTACAGTCAGGAATGGGCAAGTTTGTCCCAACACCTGCCTTCTGCCCCCATGTCTATGGCAGGGTTCAAGACAGAGACAGGGCCCATGCTCCACAGAAGGTAAATTCAAGATACATTATAATGAAATACTAGTGGATAGGTTAAAGAAGAAATTGTGTGAATGATGTACTGGATGTGTATTTGTACCAACTATCTTATATGTTGAAAAAAATTTGACTGTGTTAATGAATACTGTAAATCAAAAACTCTGTTTATATTGAAAGTGATTATATAAAAATATAAACTCAAATATTTAACAGAATCATCAATTTATGTTGATTTAAACAAGAGTTCACTTACACTAGGTTGAGCGTGCACCCTATGATGGTCCAGTGGCGCAGCTGAATAGTCAGTCTCAAGGCCAGGTGACAGAGCACATCTCAGCTGTGCAGCAGGAGAATTTCTATACCCGAGGTCCGACTAGAAGTGGAGGTGTCAACCTTCATGACTCGAGCTTCCACGTGTCGGGTTAGCCTACCTCTTCTACTAACACAATATTCCTCTGAAAATTTGGTACTCTCTTTTCATACGGAAAGTTTATTTATGCTCACATGCACGCATATACACGAGACCACATATTAACTATACATTTTAGCTCTCAGGGTAGGGTTCTGAATATATATGTGTGTGTGTGTGTGTGTGTGTGTGTGTGTGTGTGTGTGTGTGTGTGTGTGTGTGTGTGTGTGTGTGTGTGTTGGTATATATAATATATATATGTATATATGTGTTTATGAATATGTATGTATATGTATATATATATATATATATATATATTTATGTATATATTTATGTATATATGTTTATATTTATATGTATGTATATGATATATGTATGTATATGATATATGTATATATGTTCGTATATATGTTCATATATATGTATATATGTTCATATATATGTATATATGTGTGTATGTATATGTATATATGTGTGTATGTATATGTATATATGTGTATGTGTATGTATATATGTGTGTATGTATATGTATATATGTGTGTATGTATATGTATATATGTGTGTATGTATATGTATATATGTGTGTATGTATATGTATATATGTGTGTATGTATATGTATATATGTGTGTATGTATATGTATATATGTGTGTATGTATATGTATATATGTGTGTATGTATATGTATATATGTGTGTATGTATATGTATATATGTGTGTATGTATATGTATATATGTGTGTATGTATATGTATATGTGTGTGTATGTATATGTATATGTGTGTGTATGTATATGTATATGTGTGTGTGTGCATGTATATATATATATGTGTGTGTATGTATGTATATATGTGTGTGTGTGTGTGTGTGTGTGTGTGTGTGTGTGTGTGTGTGTGTGTATATGTATATACATATGTGTATGTATATGTATACACACACACACACATACACATACACATACACATACATATACATATACATATACATATACATATACATATACATATACATATATAATACATATATATATATATATATATATATATATATATATATATATATATATATATATATATATACATATATATTTATATACATTTATACATATATATATTATATACATATATATACACATACACATATATGTATATATATATATGTATATACACATATACACATCTGTATACATATATGTATATATGTGTGTATATATATATGTATATGATATATATATCTATAAGTAAATATATATATATATATATATATATATATATATATATATATATATATATATATATATATATATATATATATATATATATATATATATGCATTATATACATAATGATTCAGAACACATGTTTATATTTCTCTCTCTCCCTCCCTAACCCCCTCTCCCTACCTGCTTGCTTTCCCCCTTTTCCTTCCTTTCTTTCCTCTTCTTTTGTCTTCTTTCTCATCTCTCTTCCTCTTCTTCTGTCATCCTTTTTTTGCACCACTCATTCTCTTTTCCTGTCTCCTCTCTCTCTTTTTCAAATATTTACACACTTGTCTTTTCAACTATACTTTCATGCACTCACTCTTTCACTCACTCACTTCTTACGCTTTCACCCACTCAGTTACTCACTCACACTTTCACTCTCTCTTACTTTTCACTCACTCAATTCACTTGCACACTCCATGTATATGCATGTTTTTTAAGTACATTAAAAGGAGAAATATTTATTGCTATCACAAGTACCAAATTTTCAATGATTGCTTCAAAACTTACTAATATCTGGTGCTGGGTTTTCTAATTTTCGTATTACAGGTTGGTAAATCCTTAATTCTGAAATGAATTTCTTGTAAGCTTAGATTCAGAATTTAACATAGTAATGAATGATACATAAAAGGTTACTGATTAGTTTTTGTATATAGTACATGAGTAGGTTTTGATTAAGCTAAAAGCTTGAATCTTGAAGTAATTTATATGTCTGGTAGAAGTAGTGATGTAGTCTTTCTTGGATGTTAGATTAATGGAGCAGGAGCATTGAAGGTCTGTGATCTCTTTCATTAACTCACTTTGATAATGAGTAACCCTGTAGACTCTCCAGAGCATTATACATTCAGTTTGTTGCACTGACATCGTTTGTGTTCAGTTGTTAGTGTTCAGTTACAATTATCCTCATTTTCCTCTCAGTGTTTGTGCTTGTTTGACAGCATAGAATCCCTTTATGTCATCATAGTGCATGTCTGATTTTGTGATTTTATCAGGTGAAATTAGATGTTGCCCTTTGAGATTAATTTGCAACATAGAATCCTGTTATTTTTGTACTGGGTCATCATGAAATTTGTGTTAGTCTAGATGATTGCTTTTATGTGGATTTCCCCTTACCGATAATGTCTTAATCTGTGGCACAAAATCAAGGTTAGATGAAATACAGTCAGTTACAAGGAAACAATTACCTTATCTTTCATGAACTTCCATGTGTTTGGAAATCTTTTGCACAATGCTATCATGTGCATGAACCTTACAAGTTTGTAGTTCAACAGTTGTGTAACCCATGAAGTGCAGCGTATCATTGTGAGAGGTGTGTCTCAACGTACTTTCAAGTGAGCTTTGGTATAGTGGCTCCTTGCTCCAGATAGTCTTCTTTTTTGAGGCACATTCATTAGTTAAAATTTTAATGTTCCTGACAGTAGGAGCTAATGTTCAAGTAGAAAGATTTTTTTAGTTCCAAATTGAGTGTGTAGGATTTTATGGGCTTTTCTAATCCTTCTATATTGCTGATACAACTGGAAATATGGTTAGAAGTAATGATTAGTTTGCAGTTAGGGTGAGATTATTGTGATTTTTTAATGAAAATGATGAATAGGCATACTGAGATAGGACAAAATAATAAAGAACATATCTTTATTATATATACATAATGGATGAGGTGTGCAATGCTTTTGGTCAGATATGGGCTTATTCAGTGTCTGTTATGAAGTTGAGAAATACCTTGTAGAAAGTACACAATTATTGGTGTAAATTCCAAGACATTGATACAAGAGATCATGGAAATAAGGCACTTCAATGTGCTTTAGTAACTATCTTTAAAATCTTTTAGTGCTTTGTCATTGTATTTTGTAAATATTTTGATATCATATACTTGTGTACAAAGTCAGAGACAAACCAAAGATATGATATCTTACAACCCCTCCCTAAACTACAGACCCTTATGATTAAAGACAAAGCTAGGATATAATATCCCACCAAATCCTAAATTACAAACCCTGCTGCACTTTTTGGGTTAAGCCAAGAACTTTATAATTTCTGTCCTGCCAGCAAGTCTTCCTCCCTCCACACCTGTTCTCCTTTTTACCTGAAATGCTTTTAATCTACAAAGGTGATATCAGTCCTGCTGTATTTAGAGTTCACCCTCCTTTAGGGGGCCATGTTAAAGATATAGGACATAATTCCAAACTTTAATTTAGCTGTACCTAGCAGGCTTTTTTGCCCCTTTTAAAACAGCATTCAGACTTGGGCTGCTTACAGCTTTTAATTTCAAACAATACATGGAACTAGTAGTCACTAAGGCTCACCAAGTTTACACATGTGATGGGCTTGACAAAACTTAGGGAATAGGCTGACAGGAAGGGCATCTTAGTCAGGAAGGGATTTCAAGACTCTACTATAATGTTGCTTATAGGATGCTGAAGATAACTGTGAAAGAATTGTTCCCAAAGTAATTTCAAATTACCTTTTGTTGTGCAGAAATTAGGCTTTGAATAATTGTGATGGTTATGAGGATAATGAAAAATGAAAATTTATTGCTGTAGGTCGACAGAAGGATGATGATATTTTGCCTCGGCCAAGCATCAAGCTTGTGAGCCCTCACAGTGCCAGATCTCAGCTGGGTAGCTTCTGGTGACTCAACCCTGCAGGCAATATGGTCTACAATATTGAGTAGAAATTATTTTAAGTCACGTGAATAAAGCACAGCTAATCCTCTTAATGGCATTGAAACTGCCAATTTCAAATGTTGACACTAAAAAATATGTATTATGATGGATAAAGAAATTCACCAGGAAAAGTACAAGTTGCCCAAATCTTGAAATGCAATGGAGTTGACAAGACAGGCAGGAAAAGATGAATCCACCTTTTTGTTTTTTATCATTTTAGTGTCATTTGAGGATTTACTGTACTAAGAAATGCCTAGTTGTGAATATTGCTGACATGTCTAGGAACATGAATAAAGAAATGCTTCTGTCTGTAAGGAATTGATATACACTCACATACATTCAGATCGTACATACACGCACACGCACACACTCACACTCACACTCACACTCACTCTCACTCTCACTCTCACTCACACTCACTCTCACTCTCACTCTCACTCTCACTCTCACTCTCACTCTCACTCTCACTCACACACACACACACACACACACACACACACACACACACACACACGAATATTTACAATTTGTGAATGAAAAGTTATGGATCTCTCAGAAAGTTTAATCTACAATGTATTTGATATTGAATATGAGGTTTTGTGTGATATGACAAAGAATTAAAATGTCATTTTAAACCCTTATGCAATGGGGTTATCATACATTTGTGACACCCCTTAACCCATTAATGATGGGGACATTCACTAGCCAATATATTTTTATTTTTTATTTTTTATTATTATTATTTTTTTTATTATTATTATTATTTTTTTTTTATACATGCATGGCTGTGCAAGAACCATTCTTCATTCTTGTTATCCATGATTCAGACTTGTAAAAAAAAAAAATCCAAATGTATTGTAAGAAAATGAACTGTAGCTCTCCTGCAGTTACATAAAATGCTGATCATATTTAAAAGCTAACTAAATAACCATGGGCGTCTTCTGTACACGTCATAAAAATTAATTTCGGGTTAAAGTTAACTAATCCACAGTACTTGCACAGAAGATGCAAGACACATTGCAAGGAACACAAGTCAATGCAATTATCAGTAAATCTACTGTTTTACAGGAAAAAGTGGGTATCTGTTTAATGGCAATTATCATTCACCCTCTACAAGTCTCATATTATATGCTAATGTTGGTCATAAAACATAAGCTACAGAGGAAAAAAAATATGCACACACACACACACACACACACACACACACACACACACACACACACACACACACACACACACACACACACACACACACACACACACACACACACACACTTGTATTACATCATGCTGATATATATCTGTGTCCGTTCAAATAAAATCAATATTCAATATTTACAGGCTTCAAATAGCCTGTAAATATTAAAGACAACTGAAATGAAGGTGTCAAACAAAAATACCATACTGGGATTAACTAGCTCAATTTTTGCAGTATTGATATTTAACTCTTTCCTGACGGGAGAAATAAAAAAAAAAAGAAAATGAGGGAAATTCTGTACTTATTTTTTTATACTTTTGTGAAATGGCACGAAAAACGTATTTTTACGAGTGCTATAAATATAGATGGTGTTATTTTTATTATAAACATTAAAATTACTAAAATGTTATAAACATTTGTAACAGCAAAATAAGATAACGTTAAATATTTTCGTAAATTGATGAAAAGAGTGAACCGGCGAGACAGGTGGTACTCATAACTAGCTCATTGGTGATTTAGTACAAGTGTAGCCATCTATGTGTAAAAGCAATTAAACAAATAAACTCGCAATGGGCATGGCATGTACATACATTGGCAAGGGGTTAATCTCAAACATAAAGCTTGATCCGAAGGTGAATTAAAAATTAATCCTGAATGCTGCCATTGCACATGTGCATTAGCGATCTGGCTTAAACTTTAATACTAGATTAACTTTTATGGCACATACAGGAGACGCCATATGGTGATATGTTGTGAGTAGCTTTACCAAAAATTGTCTTAATTTGGCAGTATCAAAAGTGCTTGTTGGGTATGCGTATCTGAATTTATTTAGTTTATTTTTTTCTGTAATTTATATTCTCCAATTTGGAAATTGGATTCATTGTAATGTCCTTACTGTTTTGTTAACATTGATACTCTTAGTACTTCTTGCTTTGTGATAGCTAAAGCAAATATCTTTATCATATTATTTATAAACTATAATATTTAATAGCTCCTGTATTTATAAACTTAATATTAATACTTTCGGAGATTGATAAGAAACTACAATAAGATCAAATGGATGCAGGATGCTAAGCATGTAACTTTAGATGAGTTACCCATACTTTTTCTTTTATAGAATCAGATCATTTTTGCAGTTTTAAGGATTTTATGGAGGGAACTTTCCTTTGAAAAGTGTGGAAGTTATTTTTATGCTTAATTTCAAAGTTATACAAATGATGCTTGACAATGGAAAATAATGCAAAGGTCTGAAGAGTGATATTAGAGGAGTATCCATGACTTTCCCTTCACCAGAATGTCTTTTTTTTTTATTTATAAAATATAATGAAGAGGGAAAAGAAAATGGCTCCTATGGGAAGGAGTTCCATGGTATGAACCTTTTATAAAATGCAAGCTCTAGTTATTAAGTATGATTATTAGTTCATATAGTGTAGAATATCACTGATGACACTGTGGCTTTGGGGGGAAATTTTGTTTAAAGGAAGTGTAGCAATAGAAGAGTAAAGTCACTATTGGGATTCACACTGACATTACCAGCTGGACACAGTAGTTGATAGAAAGCTTTTTAACATATTACATGGGAAAAAATTCAAGGCTTGCTGTCTTCAAGTTGGCTATCAGTGCTTCAAAGCTTTCACAGGTATTTGATTTGAAATTGATTAACCACACCTGCTTTTATCATGCCTTTGCAAGTCGACTGCATGTAATGAGTCTGGTAACTGAACTGGTTTCCACTTTAGTCTCTGAAGCAGCTGTGACACATGATTGTGATTTCGTGTATTTTGAATTAATGTGTAAAGTGAAAATATAAAGGAACAAATATATTTTGTAAAATGGAGTTAACATTGCAGAAATCAGTATGCTTAAATTTGGTGAGAATGCCACTTACAGACCTGCTTTGAATTAACCAGAGTTTACATTTTACAGGTGCCCAACTTAATGACAAGTCACCCAAGCGTCCATCAGTGAAAGTGAACAACCCACCTGGTGGCAAGACCTCTGGCAGCTTCTGGTAACCTTGAAGCAATTTAAATCATCAGGAACAGAAATGAATATCTTCCCTTATAAATTTCTACGTGTAGGATATGGCACTAAATGTTTTCTATTGTACACGACACTCTTGATCTTTAAGTTTGCTATGTTATAAGGTTGCAGAAACTGATACAAGGAAAACTAAAATTGACTTGCCAGATAAAGAAATAATAAGTAAATTGTCTTAATTTTATGTAAATCATATTTCAAAAACAAAGACTTTATATATAGAGAAAGAGCACACTGTTTTTAACATCTTTACTGACAGCAAATGTAAATGTAAAGTATTTTATTATTATTATTATTATATTTTATTTATTTATTTATTTTCCTTTTACATCTTTACTGAGACAGCAAATGTTGATGTACAGTAAATGCTATGAAGAAGAAACACGTAAGTGGCCTCCCAGTAAGCACTTTAACAACTAGAATAAGTAAGAAATCCTGACGAAGATTGTAATTAGAAAGATTTTTTCAGATGCAGTGTATACTATGAGGCTGATTTCTTACATACTTTAATAATAATTTGTTGCCTTACTAGGTAGGTGACAGAATTATGACCTACTGGTACTGTATTTCTCGGGTCTTTCAAAAGCCTTTTACCTGTATGTTAATTGGGTCTAAACCAAAAGATTGAGCAGCTTTAGATCTGAAAACCAGATGCTTTATAGTGCAGATTGTGTTTAGTATTCTTCTTGTAAATTTAAAAGATTGCATAAATTAATATAGGCTAAAGAGAACATTTGTTATTTATCATTCTTTTTTTTTTTTAATTGTTGCTCAATTATATTGCTTGGTTATTTGAAATATATATAGTAAGTTCATATGTTAATGTAAATCTTTCTTGGCTCTTCCTTATATGTGCTGATTTTGTGTATTGTTATTCTGTTTGTAATGCTTCATGGTGTTATTCACAGCTATTGACAATAAATATACTGTCAGACTTCATGGTGTTTCTTTTTTTCCTGTTTAGGAAATTCTTTTCTGAATGCAATCTCACTTTTTCACTTACTGTAGTCATATAATGTCATATGAAGGATATTATTAGTGCATACTGTAGTATATACTCCATTTTAGGAGTGTTTGACTCATTTGAGTGTGTGAAGTCGGAGGTTTGTTTTAGCGAGAGTACAGAAAAGCAGTGGTAAGTCCTTTTTTTTTTTTTTTTTTTTTTTAATAAAAACTACATATATACAATATGTACATGCTTCAGAAGACACATCTGTAAATAGTGGAAAGGAGTCAGGGAGGAATACCAGTTGTCTGTGTACAACTGATACCCCTTGTCGAGAAGCTTTGCCTTCTCCATCAGTTCGCCAGAAACTCGCTGCAATCTTGGCACATGTAGATATTGAAGGCCGCTGTATACCTTGCCTCTGGATCATTGGATGAGTGCGTACCTGTAGCTGGAAGAAAAAAAGACATTTTAAAACTGGTGTTCGAAAAAAAGGAAATGAAAGAAACTTACATTTTCAAGTCGGAGCACAAAAAACGAGGTAAGTTGCTTACCGATTTGTCTCGTCCTCAATTGCCCGGAACAACTCCTCTGGGAATAAGCTGTTGAACATCTCTGTCAAGGTGTGTGTGCACATCCGGTGTCCCCTCGAAGCAGTGATGCCAGACCAAACGAAAGGAATTCTGGGATCCTTGTAGTCCCACTGTCGCCTGGCGTATTCTGTGAGGGGCTCATCTGAGTCCAAAGAAATATCCACCAGCAGGACACAGTCATAATCCACATCTGAGTAATACTCCATGGCTGATTCATTGGAGCCAGACTCAGATTCCTCCCCAATCTGAGTCTTCATTGGTGAACCAGCTCTGTCACTCTAGCTCTCTCACTCACTCACTCACGCACGCATGCACACACACGCAAGTACATTGGGGACAAGTGTCATATCGATCTCTTTCTTACACCCACGCACCTACACAAGCACAGTGAGGACAAGCGTCATGGCTGGCTGGCTGGCTGGCTAACACACAGTAGACAAAACAAATATACAATGAAAAACATGCATGTGCAATTCACATACACACACACTTCTACACATACAATTACCGACTTACACATTCACGCGCACACAGAGTTGCACACAGATTTCCACAGATACGCCCAAAAGCACAAGCCGACAAACACAAACACGACAAAAAACAGACACATGCATCTATATATGTACATTTATAGTTGCACAACCATAATTACCCATATAAATACCTGTATACATACAAACTAGCTAATAAACAGTCATTCATACAGCCATATAGTAATCATGTGCATAGGCATCCCCGGAGGTACAAGTTAGAAATATACCACGTGAATACACGTACTTGTCTGCACGTGTCCGCATGGGGTACAATCTGGGGTTAATCTTTAATCCATTGATGCTGTCTACTGTGGTTTTATTTTGCTATTTTATTTACACAGATAAGGATAATTCCAATATGTGAAGCCGAGCCTTACCCGGGCTATGCTCATGAGGGGAGCACAGCCTGTGTCAACCAATGCTGACTCACTAAAGTGTGTCAGCTGGTGCTGACTCAGCTGAGCTTAGTCCTTACCTGCCGTGCTGCCCAGCCACAGCAGTAACCTCCAGGCGACAATTGCAATTTCTCGCAGACGGGTAGGGCACGAATTGCCAACCCTTTGGATGAGAGGCCGACACTTTGCCACTGTACTAGCCTGGAGGCTTACACACATGTAACTTTGCAAGCACTTAAAGTGCATCCAGTCTCTGGAAATAAAAAAATTGGCAGCTTACCCTAGACTCTGGAAGACTCCCAATTTGTCAAATCTGTTTTATTCTAATTGGCTGAAACTTCACTCATGCAATATGCAAATGCTTTATTCTGGAATTTTCTACCCTTAACAATACCTTTACTATCTTTTATTGAAATCCGAGTGAGTTCCCAGTTTTTCTTTTTCCTGAGATAGGGCAGAAAATAATCATCAAGGAGCACATTAATTTCCCTATCTGGCCAAAAACTTCTTTATCTCATTACTTGAGTTATTCCTTAAGTTATTGGGAATAAAAGCTTTTTTTTTTGTAGATTAACATTATTATGACTAGTAATATTATTATTATTATTTTATTGTAATGATAATATAATTATAAGTGACAGATTTTTTCACCTAAATTGAAGTGATGAGGTAAAAAAGGTAAGGTCGGGTAAGCCCACTAATCGACTCTTCGGTGACTAAGTACTTGTGAAGTGATCTGTGAGCACATTAACAACACCACAGTGCCAATTGAACTTTCGAAAAACTAATTTTGTCACAATGAACTATTACTGACCAGTTTCTGATCTATGAACTACAGTTGGTCTAGAATGGCACTGATCAGCTGTAGTACAGAATAAATGAAGTAACTTTATATAATAAACATATGCATAAACAATACTTCAGCTATTCCCTTCTTTGATCACTCAAATTCTTTTCATATGTATTGTATTCTTTACTAACTTTGTGGTTAAACAGAAAGATGGAGTATTTGTAATTAAATTCATTATTTATTTTTCAAGTACATACTGATAAATTGTCAAATACCAGTGGATTACAATATAAAAAAATAATGCCTCTCAATCTTTAAAAAATTAGGTTCTATTAACACTTCTCAAATATTTTGTACAAAATTAATCTCAACAATGTTACAATAACATGACTTATACAAGAAGAAATAATGTGTAAACAATATTTACAATACATACACGAACATAAGTTTGTACTAAATATATATACAACAAATTAAACTGCTAGAGTCTAGGAGTTTTCCCTTTGGTAAAAACTGCCAATGTCCTCTTGCTCACTTGTCTGAAAAAAAAAAAAAAAAAAAAAAAAAAAAAAAAAAAAAAAAAAGGATTATTTCTTATAAGAAAATATTCTAATGCAACAATTACAATTATGTGATACTTGGTCATAGTCTTAAGATGTGTGGTGGGATAATCAAAATTAAATTAAGACTGGTTTTAAATGCTTGTACGTATATGCACTCATGGCGAGTATTTCCCATCATCCCTGTGGTATGTAGGGTCACTCGCCCCTTGAGCTAAATTTTTTCATGACATATGGTCAAGTCATCAAGATTGAAGGGTTTAAAGAATTTATTAGCCTCTCTACTGTTGCTGATATAACAGCTTATTTTATTGTTAAGAGCCCATTTTTTACTATTTCTGAAAAGGAAAACAAACCTCCTTCAGACTTACATTTATCAAAAAAAATATATTTTTCTGTGAAGGTTCCACTATTCCCTCAGGCCTGCAATTGAGGATACAGGTTTAACTGACAAAATATGAAAAGAAACGTCTTACCTGGCAATATGGATTGGAAGGGCTGGTGGAAATAAGACAAGAAGGTGAAATGGAGATGACTGGAGCACATAAACCTTATAACTGTCTGTGGAAACATAGGATTCCAAAGGCAGGTGGTCTGGGTGGAGCTGAAACCCAAATACAAAAGTATTAGAATTTTGTGCCTTTTTAAACTGATGTAACAAAGTTGGCCCTTGCATTCATACTGATATCAAACTGGGCATATTTACTATACATAAAGAATAACAACATTGGCAAATCATTCAGTTGCAGTATCACAAATTTATAATATAAATATATATAATATATATAATATATATATTTATAATATAAATATATATAATATATATAATATATATAATATATATAATATTTATAATCCCCTCTTGAAGCAGCTCTTATTGACACATGACAATGATTAACCCATTGTCACTGGGGATGCCTTGTACTTACAGGCCATGTCCATAGTGATTTTAGTTCATTTATTGTGCCTACACACAGATGGCTCTACAAGTGCTTTGCCACCAAGGAGTCAATTACTATCTATTTACCTGTCCTTCATTTTTGGAAAAGTATCATTTTTTATTGCTATTAGTATTGTTAATATCATAATAGTTATAATACTAACAATAATAATAACAATCAATATTAATAGAAATTGGAAAAAAATAAATAAAAAGATGAGGAAAGGGAAAACAGGTGAGGTCACATAAGAATAAACTGATTCTTTCATTTCTGCAGAACTGTATGTTAAAAAACAATTCACAAATAAAACTACAGTGGATATGTAAATTGCAGTACTGGGTTAAAACATAAAAAAATCTTAAGTGTTTAAATGCTTAATTTCCAGATTTGCAGAGTTTTCTGCAGGAATATTCTCACCCTCCCCCTTTCCTGGGGTGTGTGTGAGAGAGAGAGAGAGAGAGAGAGAGAGAGAGAGAGAGAGAGAGAGAGAGAGAGAGAGAGAGAGAGAGAGAGAGAGAGAGAGAGAGAGAGAGAGAGAGAGAGAGAAACCTGAACTTACTCCTCAATAGGTTTTATGGATTACCAGATGACTACTGGATATGCAACTGTTTCTTTAAATACATAAACAGATTTAACAAAAGTAATTTCACTTCCAAGAAAGATCAAAATAAAGTGATTATATAAACATCAAATTATGAACAAATCCATTTACCCCAGTTGGGAAATCTTCTGGTGGCATAGCTGGTGGCTGCAGTAATGGTCCTATTATGCTGCGATAAACAGATTGCAAGGCCGCACTCTTCTTATTAACACATAATGACCGTGATCTTGAATCTTCACTAAGATGCAAGCAACCAACACACCGCTTATGATCATAATTTACCAAAAGGAGTCTGAAAAAAATAAAGAAATAAATATATCAAAATAAAAACATAGGTACACAGTGATACAGTTCAATCTCTGTCCTTTGTCTGTGCTCTAAATTGATTTCACAAGCCATTTGCTTTATTCTGTTTTAAAACTTATTAGAAATTTATAAAAAGTAAGACTCACACCAATCTTGAAAATGTCTGAAAATCACAGATATGTATGACTTTATGTATGAATAACGTATTTGTTCATCATAAACAGGTATTTTGTTGCACTAAGGATCGATTTGAATTAAAAATACAAAACGTATGATCACAAAGACATTCAAACAAGAAGTCAACCTAATAATTTAGTCTCACTTGAAGTTCCCAATAATGACCACTTTCTCTTGTCAAATGGGTATCAACTGTTCATTGAAAATAATCATATGGAAATTATATGTGAAAGTACAGAATAATGTCATTCTGCTTCCTGCACTGTTGTAATACATACTCCAATATGATCTGTATTTGTCTTAAAAATAAAGTAAGCTTTTTTCACACAGGGTGTGAAAAAATGAATATAATGTTAAATTTTTAGACATCTGTAAAAGGAGATAACTTAACTGCATTGATACTAAACATGGCAAGAAAAAATAGAACAAAAAGTCTTACCCAATGACAGAATTATCAAGCTGTGTCAATAGAGCTGGGGCAATGTTCCAAGGCAGGAGACTACTAAGGGCTTCTAAAACCTGATAAAAAGGGGCCCAAAAAGAGGTGGCAGACCTGATCATATCTGCTAAAGATGGAGTTGGTCCACAAAGTGTCACCACTGACACATGGCTTGTGAGTTGAACTACTAGCATTCGGAAGGGTACCTGAGGAATTGTTCAAAGAAATCTTTTAAATTTCATGTGTGTGTGTGTGTGTGTGTGTGTGTATACATATACACATACACATACACATACACATACACATACACATACACATACACATACACATACACATACACATACACATACACATACACATACACATACACATACACATACACATACACATACACATACACATACACATACACATACACATACACATACACATACACATACACATACACATACACATACACATACACATACACATACACATACACATACACATACACATACACATACACATACACATACACATACACATACACATACACATACACATACACATACACATACACATACACATACACATACACATACACATACACATACACATACACATACACATACACATACACATACACATACACATACACATACACATACACATACACATACACATACACATACACATACACATACACATACACATACACATACACATACACATACACATACACATACACATACACATACACATACACATACACATACACATACACATACACATACACATACACATACACATACACATACACATACACATACACATACACATACACATACACATACACATACACATACACATACACATACACATACACATACACATACACATACACATACACATACACATACACATACACATACACATACACATACACATACACATACACATACACATACACATACACATACACATACACATACACATACACATACACATACACATACACATACACATACACATACACATACACATACACATACACATACACATACACATACACATACACATACACATACACATACACATACACATACACATACACATACACATACACATACACATACACATACACATACACATACACATACACATACACATACACATACACATACACATACACATACACATACACATACACATACACATACACATACACATACACATACACATACACATACACATACACATACACATACACATACACATACACATACACATACACATACACATACACATACACATACACATACACATACACATACACATACACATACACATACACATACACATACACATACACATACACATACACATACACATACACATACACATACACATACACATACACATACACATACACATACACATACACATACACATACACATACACATACACATACACATACACATACACATACACATACACATACACATACACATACACATACACATACACATACACATACACATACACATACACATACACATACACATACACATACACATACACATACACATACACATACACATACACATACACATACACATACACATACACATACACATACACATACACATACACATACACATACACATACACATACACATACACATACACATACACATACACATACACATACACATACACATACACATACACATACACATACACATACACATACACATACACATACACATACACATACACATACACATACACATACACATACACATACACATACACATACACATACACATACACATACACATACACATACACATACACATACACATACACATACACATACACATACACATACACATACACATACACATACACATACACATACACATACACATACACATACACATACACATACACATACACATACACATACACATACACATACACATACACATACACATACACATACACATACACATACACATACACATACACATACACATACACATACACATACACATACACATACACATACACATACACATACACATACACATACACATACACATACACATACACATACACATACACATACACATACACATACACATACACATACACATACACATACACATACACATACACATACACATACACATACACATACACATACACATACACATACACATACACATACACATACACATACACATACACATACACATACACATACACATACACATACACATACACATACACATACACATACACATACACATACACATACACATACACATACACATACACATACACATACACATACACATACACATACACACACACACACACACACCACACACACACACACACACCACACACACACACACCACACACACACACACACACACACACACACACCACACACACACACACCACACACACACACACACACACACACACACACCACACACACACACACACACACACACCACACACACACACACAAATATATATGTATATATGTATATATGTATATATGTATATATGTATATATGTATATATGTATATATGTATATATGTATATATGTATATATGTATATGTGTGTGTGTGTGTGTGTGGTGTGTGTGTGTGTGTGTGTGTGTGTGTGTGGTGTGTGTGTGTGTGTATTATATGTATATATATATATATATATATATATATATATATATATATATATATATATATATATATATATATTATATATATATATATAGTATGTATATATATATATCACACCTATGTAGTATCCATCAATATATGGACTTCTCTGGATATGTACTGAAACATACACTGGTTACATCTCAAAACATGTGTCAACAGATGCCAAGTTTAGTCTTCCAACAAACCTATCCTTAACTCCTGCCACAATTTTGACTTTGCCAGTTGCATGAGAACTTACACATCAGAACCTAAATTTCAGGATTCAACCATTATTGTAAAACAAAGATTGAGGACAGGTTTATGGACATTCCCCAATCACAAGGAAGGGATATACAAAGCCAGCCATCTATGGGACTGAAAAGACTACATGAAATAATGATAATAAT